GTAAATTAATTGAACAGTAGGGTTGCTTTCCGCTGAGAATAAAGTATCTGGAGGTCTTAGGTTCAAATTCAAGGAGGAATAAAAATCTCTTTGTAACCATGGAGGTTCAAATGCGGTGACTCCAGGCTCTCTGCAAAACAGGTAACCGCCCTGAGATTAGTCGGCTCGCATAGCTGGTTGGATATCCAGGTTAATCAAAAAAAAGATTCTCGTGAGGACTAGAGATGTAAACAAGCCAAATCGAGTCGAATAACAAAATATTTTAACTCGGCTTGTAAAAATAATATCAGTCCCGAGTTCCATTAACTTTTCCAAACTTGGGGTCGGGCTCGAATATTTTTTTCAATGTTTGAGTTCGAGCTTGATGCTCATTTTATGAGCTTGAGTTTGAGATCTATTAACTCCTTTATCAATCAAGCTCAATAGTTTTTATACAATATGTAATTTGTAAACACATAAATATATTTGGCTTGAAAAAATGTATGTTCGAATGGCTCGGCTCGTAGTTGAACGAGTGGAGTAGTTGAACTTTAGTGTTATGGAGTTCGACTCGTTAAGCTAAAGGGCTTTTTTTTGTGTTCGAGATTAACACGAGCGCAATAATTAGTAAGCTCAAGCTCTAGATAGAGGAGCTCGAATAGCTCGTTAAAAGCTCGACTCGTTTACACCCCTTAATAAGGACATGAAAACAAAAGATTTCATATATCTTTGTTTGTCTATTTTTATCATTATGTCCAAAACTTAAACAAATTAATACATGTGAAGAAGATTAAACGTAAGCCAAGGACGGACCCAATCATTTTTTAATACGGTGATACCATATGAAACGGTTACATCTTCTAAAATAAAACGATTGCCTTTTTACGAACCTAATTTTTTTTTACCTTTCACGTACAATACTGAGTTTTAGTTAAGAGGGCAGCTGATGAAGACGACGACGTGGTCAACGCCATGGAAGGGAAAGGAAGGTTCCCAGTAGGGGTGTAAATGATGTGAGTCAAGCTCGAGTCTCATTATACTCGACTCGAACTCGAAACCTAATCTCGAAGCTCGAACTCGACTCGAAAACTCGCGAGTAGTCAAAATCGAAGCTCAACTCGAACTCGATTCAAGCTCGAACTCGAACTCGAGCTCGAATCAAGCTCGAACTCGAGCTCGAATCAAGCTCGAACTAGAACTCGAATCAAGCTCGAACTTGAACATAAGC